TTAATTTTGGGATCTTTGGGAATCATGGCATTCAAAGAACAAATCAAGTCAATGAAGAAGAAGAGGTCGAAGGAAATAATGGAGAAACAGAGGAGGTGAATGAGAATAGTGAGAATCATGAAGAAAACAACAACTCTGAAAGTGGAGAAGATGACGCTGAAGATCAAGTACCCGCATTAAGGAGATCACAAAGGGAAGTTAACAAGCCTAAATACCTAAAGGACTACGTGTTGCTAGCTGAGGAAGAAGGAGAACACCTACTCATGTACTTGAATGATGAGCCTAGAAACTTCTATGAAGCAAGAGAATCGGAAAAATGGATGCTTGCATGCGAAGACGAGATTCACTCCATTACAAAGAATCACACTTGGGATCTTGTTGAATGTCCAAGAGAAGCCAAGCCAATAGGTCTAAAGTGGATTTTTAAACTCAAAAGAAATTCCGATGGAAGTATTAATAAATACAAGGCTAGGCTTGTGGCTAAGGGATATGTGCAAAGATATGGAATCGACTTTGAAGATGTGTTTGCTCCGGTAGCAAGAATTGAAACAATACGTCTCCTTATTAGTCTCGCAGCTTCAAAAGGATGGGAGATACATCATCTCGATGTCAAGACAGCATTTCTCAATGGCGAGCTAAAGGAAACTATCTATGTAACTCAACCGGAAGGCTTTGAAGAAAAAGGATGTGAAGAAAAGGTCTACAAGCTCAAGAAGGCTCTGTACAGTTTAAAGCAAGCTCCTAGAGCATGGAATGAGAAGTTGAATCAAGTTCTTAAGGAACTGAAATTTGAGAGATGCTCTAAAGAACCTTCGGTGTATAGGAAAAAGGTGAATCAAGATGTTCTTCTTATTGCGGTGTACGTCGACGATTTATTCGTCTCGGGGACAAATCTTAAAGTTATAGAAGAATTCAAGAAGGAAATGGCGTCTAGGTTTGAGATGAGTGATCTTGGTAAGTTAACCTACTACCTTGGAATTGAAGTCTGTCAAAACAAGGAGGGAATAACTTTAAACCAAAAGCGCTATGCTTTGAAAATTTTGGAGGAAGCTGAAATGATGAAGTGTAACTTGACTCATATACCAATGGAGGCTGGCCTGAAACTGTCTAAGGCGTTAGAAGAAAAGGACATTGATGCTACTAGCTACCGAAGAAATATAGGTTGTCTTCGTTACTTGCTTCACACAAGACCCGATTTATCTTATTGTGTAGGAGTGTTAAGTCGGTATATGCAAAACCCTAAGGAATCACATGGAGCTGCAATGAAGCAATGTCTAAGGTATTTGAAAGGGAGTACTATACTTGGACTTGTCTATCCGAGAGCATCTTTAAAGGAGTCAAAGCTGATCGGGTATAGCGATAGTAGTGATAATGAAGATCCGGATGATGGAAAGAGCACGACTGGACATGTGTTCTATCTTGGTGGGAGCTTGATCTCTTGGTGCTCTCACAAGCAAGAAACTGTGGCACTTTCGTCATGTGAAGCTGAATTTATGGCAGCTACGGAGGCAGCAAGACAGGCGATATGGCTTCAAGACTTGCTTAGTGAAATCATGGAGTCAACATGTGAGAAAGTCATCATTCGAATAGACAATCAATCGGCAATTGCTCTTACGAAAAATCCGGTGTTTCACGGTCGAAGCAAACACATTCACAAACGGTACCATTTCATAAGAGAGTGCGTGGAGAATGGATTAGTGGAAGTCGAGCATGTACCTGGTGATGAGCAAAAGGCCGACATTTTGACTAAGGCGCTTGGGAGGATCAAGTTCAAGGAGATGCGTGAACTTATTGGTGTAAGAGATATGAGTGGAAGTGACTTCAAGCTTAGGAGGGAGAATGTTGGTTAAGCTTGAAGATATCTTGGAGAAGAAGTAATCCTAAACCGAGTTATGGTTATTAAGAGATAAGGTTGTTAAGAGATAAAGTTAAATATATTGGGAGTTATCCAATATATTATGAGTCCTTATAGAATTAGGATTTGTACTTCTTGTATAAATAGAGATGTCGAGTAATGGCATAAGATTGTGAGAGAGTTTAAGTTTTGAGAGATTTTCTTAAACTAATAAAGAGGTTATTGAGGTTAATACGTTTGGTTGTCAAGAGCTTAAACATCAAATATCGTTTTACAATAATGTTTGGAGTAAGTGTTATTGCACATATTTCGCTCTCTTTATTTTTGGGGGTTTACTACCTCATATTAACTAAATTGTCTTTCTACATTACAGGGATGTTATTTAGTTGCAGAGTACTACGGGTCCTGGTGGTTGGCAAAAGTAATAGGCCACACATTTCTATCAATGTTCTAGTCGATCAAGGTACTTATCACCCTCGGTATTAGTTTGGGTATTCCGGATGAGGAGATGTATTTGGGAAGGTTAGTATAGCTATGATTGTCTTTCTTTTCCAAAATCAGGATTATTGATGCCACAGTTATCATCATAGCCGTGTTTATGGTTCTCTAGGGAAAACTTGGAGATGAGGAACAAATAGCAGAACAAAATGCTGAGGATGTAGAAGCAGCTCCTGAGGGTGTGGAAGAAGATGATGAGGATGTGGAAGCAGCGCCTAAAGGTGTGGCAAAAGATGAAGATAGTGTGGCCAAAGATGTTTGATCTCGAATTAAGTAGGATCATGTTGACATCTTGTTATGGATTATTTGACCAGCAATAAGAAAACTGGAATCTTTGGTGTCGTGGGTATTGACCAATGCTCATGTTCTATGAAAACTTGAAACAGGGAGAAAAGAATTGTTTGGATTTAATAATGGCTTACTTTTAATAAAAAACAGTACAAAAATGGTTATAAGTAAAGAAATTACTTAAAGAATATTTTTAATCAAAAACAGTACAAAATTGTGAATCTTTGAAATACTTTTTAGGACTTTTAAATTTGTTATAAATAACAAAAAAAAGTACATACCAAATAGATATGATAAAGAGACAGGACACTTCGAATTATGTTTTTGGACTCATATTAAATTTTTCATTTTCACAAAAAATTTTAAATTTTTAAATAAAAGGGGTGCAAAGATAGGATTTGAACTTTGGATTAGAGGATCAACTATTACGAATCAAACCAAATAATAAACTCAAACCAAATTATCAACTATAAACTAACTAATGTTTTTGGCCAGTTTGATGTATGCTTGTTTTGTGAATCCTTCTGTGGTTACTCTTGTACTCTTGCATAAATGCAAGATGTCTGTAAAGTTTTTTTACCTTATCAATATATGATCTATTCAAATTAAAAGAAAAAAAAAATTATGCATACGAAATTTTATACAACTTGATATAATATAGTTCATCTTTCCTACATTGCCCTCAATTTTTTTTTTTGGAATAAAATGTAAAATTTATTCGAAAAAAACTTTTTACATCAAATGCATCATTTGGTTAAAAGTTTTGCATACAAGTCATAGAACTACTAGCCCTTTTAGCTTATCTTGAAGCAACCCAAGCTTCCATACATCCATTGTATCTTCTATCTCCTTGCTCACGTATCGAGGAGATCCGATTTCGAACTTGTTTGTCGAGATTTTGAAGCATATGCGCTGGTGGTAATGGTGTTTCTCCATGCCTCATGTTGTTTCGCTTCCTCCATATAGAGTAGATTGCAAGCTGGAAAGCATACCTTGTTAAGAATAGGCTTATCGTCCCCAAGACTCATCTATGAGAGTTTTGTGTATATCTCTCCATCTGGTGGTGAACTTCTGGCCTAGGAGCTCACGGCTCACTCCTGACCATATCTCCTCGGCATAGCAACATGTAAAGAAGAGATATTCATGTCTTTGATCGGATCATCGCACAAAACACAAGATATTTTTGCTCCCACTTGCCAGTTTGCTATTCTGTCTACGGTAGTTAGACGGTTCCTTGTCGCAAGCTATGTTATAAATGTGTATTTAGGTGTGGCATGAAGAAACCAGACAGCCTTATGTTCTTGTAATTGATCTTGTTAATCCGTGTTCTTTTGGACTTAAAATGTTGTTTTAAGGGCTGTTAGTTGGTGTCAAAACATATTGTTTTGAACTGTTTTGGACCTCGTCTATCACTGCTTTAATGTTATTGAAATTGTCTATCATGTGCCTCCTCCTTCTATGGTTTTCAATTACTTCTGATAATGTAGAATGAAGAGTTATCCCCATATCGATACATCCTATTTGACCCGTGAGGTCTATAAGTTTCCCCAATGGAGACCAATTATCAAACCAAAAAGAGATATGTCCTTCCCATTTCGCACTTCTTTTCTAACAAACCCAGCAGCAAGCTCACGATACTTTAGCAGTTTTTTCCACATCCATGACCCCATTGAGGTCGTTCCCTTCATTGACCAGAAGGATCCCTTCCTTATGAGGTATAACCTTATCCATTGTCTTTGCTTTTCAGGTTACCAGTGTCTTTTAGCCTTTGATGTTGTTGGTATGGAGAATGCATAGATTTTTCTTTTTGGTTTGTAGGGATGCTTTGGATCTGATATGGAGTTAGACTAGAAAGTCTTCATCACTTTTGTTACGAAAGGTCTTTCTCCATTCAACTTATCACTTTTGATGCACATCCAAGCTTCTGGCCTCCACAAAACCAAAACCTATCTCTGACGAGTTTGACGATACAACTATGGAGTATGGACCATACGTATAGTAAGTTCATCTTATTACCCGCATTTGAAAATTGGTATATATCTCTCTTTGATATTGAGTTGAGTAGGAGGTAGCAAAGAAAATTGGGCAAGTTATAGCAAAATATTGCTTGGATAAAGGGATCACAAAGTTGGCCTTTGAGTGTGGTGGTTCCCCTTACCACGTATGCCTTGAGGCTCTTGCCGCTGCAGCAAAGTGAACACGGTCTCTTAATTCACACAACCTTCTTCACCTCAAGAAAATAAAAGTAAGATCCCTCACTCCTTATTTAGTTGAGTCAACATATTGTTCATCAACCATTACCATGTTGCTGGTCTCTCCCCCTGGAATTTTCATGGAAAGATTCAGATTTTACATGTTTCCACTTTTGTTCACAATCTCGAAACATTCTATGATTTGATTTGTGAGGATCATAAGCTACATAATATCTGCAATCACAAAGAAATCATATAAAATTTGAAAAACTGGAAACTGATAGTTAGTCTACAAAAAAAACAGGAAACTATTAACTACAAACATTGGCATCAAAAAACAAGAGTGTTGTGTGTGATCGAAAAGTTGTAAATCAACGAGGGAAAAAAAAGGAATTTTTTTATTTATAGGTTATAGAAAAGCTTTTGTCTCAAATTCCATCGCCAAGCAAAGCTGTTTTCGATCTTTCTCGTCTCCTCTGCCGTCGAAGGTTTGTCTTTTGCGTTTCTCTTCCTGAATTACTCTCTCCTTCGATTTAAAGGATCCATCTTTGATTCTGGGTTAGGATTCGAAGGCTTCAATTCAATAGGAGGAACATCGAGTTGTATTAGGTACAAACAAATCTTATGGCTATGAGAAGTTCTGCTAGAGATTCGATAAGCAATTTGCCAGATGAGATTCTTGGCAAAATCTTGTCTTTGCTTCCGACAAAAGTGGCTGCTTCGACATCGGTTCTGTCCAAGAGGTGGAGGAATCTGCTGGGTCTTGTAGACAACCTTTGTTTTGATGAGTCGATGGTTGTGTATCCCAATGAAGAAGAAGCTGAAAATGGTTCAGATCGCTTTTCGGATTTCGTAGACAAGGCATTGACTCTGTTAGGCAATTCTCACATCAAGAAGTTCTCTCTGTGTCATGAGCCTAGACGTGGCTGTGTAGATGCATACCAACGTTGGATTTTCACTGCCATGGAACTTGGTTTATTGGAACTACACTTGCACGCCGATAGACGCTATTCTTGTGTTGATATAGAGACAGAGTTTTTCACGAGCAATACACTGGTCAAGCTCACACTATCCGGTGTATATTCTCTTGAAGCTGAGCGTGTGTTTTTCCCTGCGCTCAAATCACTTTCTCTATTATCAGTTTCAAGGCTTGACCATCCCAACTATTGTCAGCTCGTCGATGGCTGCCCTGTCCTCGAAGAACTGTTCATATGTGACGCTGATCCTTGGGATACACCATGTTGCGGTACGGGTGTGGAAAGTGCATCCATCAAGCGACTTGTGCTTTTTCTCAATCTTCCCGGTTCTAAAGAAGATCACGAAGTAGCTTATCTTGAAGCACCAAGTCTTGTGTACCTTGACTATTCGAGTTATGTCTTCGAAAATTATCAGTTTACTGATTTGGATTTGCTTGTCGAAGCCCGTCTGAGTCTCAGATTATGGGACTCAACTAATGATTATGATTATTCTGATGACGATGACGATGATGATGAACCAAAGGAGGCTATATTTGGCGATGTAACAAAACTAGTTGCGGGTATAAGCCACATTACAACCCTTCACTTGTCTCCCGATTCCCTTGAGGTCAGTTCTTCTTCTTTTTCTATTGATTGTGTTTTGGTTTGTGTAGGACTATAATTAATCTACTGCTAGCTAGCAAGGTTTCTCACTTCTATATGGTTTTTGGTTCAGGCGTTTCATTTCTGCTGTGAATCCATGCCGATGTTCAACAACCTCCTTAATTTATCTATTGAGAGTAACAAGGATAAAGGTTGGCAAGTAATGCCACTTCTCCTCAAGATTTGTCCAAATCTACAGACTTTAGTCATCAAGGTATGTTCAGTTCCCTTATTGAAATACTTTTTTTTTTTTTTTTGTTGTTTCTGCCGTTAAACATGTCAAATTGGTCTCTGGTTTCAGGGTCTTGTGCACAGAGTAACAAATAGATGCGGAGATGCATGCGCTTGCATCCCTAAGAAGCATAAGAATGAGAAAACGAAGAGGAAGATTGTCAAGGAGGAGGAGAAATTATGTTGTTTATGGACATGTGAAGTGAAGGTGCTAGAGATTTCAGAGTATGGAGGTTCTTTTCTAGAGCTGAAACAGATGAGACATTTCTTGGGGAAGTTGAAATGTCTTGAAACTGTGAAAGTTGGTGTTGATGCGGACAACGAAAACAACAGTGAGTTCTTGCGAGCTAATCTGCTGGCTCTCCCCAGACTTTCATCAAAGTGCAATATTCAGTTCGGCTGACCTTTTTCTCCCCTCATCTTTTTTCGCTTTGATGTGGCATTGTAAAAGTAACTTAACATGAATATGATTATATCACTAAAATTTCATTGAAGTTCGTTACAATATAATAAGTATGCATACAATCTAGTATGTGTTAGATTTTTCTGTGTTTGTATAGAGAAAAGTGGAATATTCTCGAATTATGTTGTGTTGTTGTTGTTGTCTTTTTTGAGTTCCAATGACTTGTGGTAGGAGTGCAGAAGAGTAAAAAGCTGTAAATGCTTACTATCACTTGTAGGATTTTCTTTGACTAGAAGCCTTATGTAACTTTGTAGGTAACTCTTGTATCTTGGCTCAATCTAGAGCATCCTTTGGTAGTATGTTGAGTTAAAAAATATGTTTGCTACGTTGGAGATTTTTTTTTATATAATATGATAGATATTAAGCGATAGAATTTATTATATTTTAAAATATAATCTTGTTAAAATTTAATATATAAAATAAATAAACTACTTTTGTGTAAAATAAATATATATATAACCATGATTAATATTATTTCGAATTTAGTATATATTTTTTCTCTGAATTTTGAATTTTATTTATTTATTAAAAATATAGCTTTAAATTTAAATTTGAAAAAATTATCATTTTATATATAATTGTAGTTTTTATTTTAAAAATATAGAAAAAGGTTATATTTCAAAGTATAACTTAAAAACAGGGTAATTTTCAAAATCACCCTTTTTTTTTTGTTCTTTTTTTATCATCATTTGAGTCTTTTTTATTTTATATAAACAATCTTTACAAGTTTTTATTTTTTTGACAATTAAAACGTGTGCAAACAATTTCATCAATATGAATGAATAAGTAGAATATTTTTGTTAAGACCATAGACAAACCCGGTCCTGATCATAGACATATAGACTATACCAACCCACATCAGGTTTTTTACGAGGCATAAACCATAATCTCTTTTTTTTTTTTTTTGAACAAAGGGGATTAACCATAATCATGATTTATTTTGTTATAAGAAATAAATGCATGATGATCGTATAATCTTATACCTTTTTCGCCATTTGATTTTTTACGAGTTCTAGCTAATTATAATAGTTTTTCGTTTTTTTTTTTAATTTAATAAAGGGTCAAATATATGAAGTTTAAAAGAAAATTTTAACATGTGCATTTCACATACTTCCATAATTAGATAATAGGTTTGCCAAGTAAAAGGGAAATCGAGTGGGCATGGCTCTTGTTGAGGTCCATCGAAAGAGCCTTCTTCGTGGATCACATGAGAGATGAATTCTTTCTGCATCAAACTTCGACATTCTATCTTTCCAATACTTGAAAATATAATTTCTACAATGTTTAAGCTAGGATAAGTTAATAATTATATAGTATAAACAATTTATAGAATTGCAAATATATTATTTCGCTTATAGTCGAAATTTAAGATAAGTTGCATTGTTGGTAATGGATGAGTATCATATCTAATAACCAATTTTAAAATGAACATAATTGGCAGTCTCTTCAATTCTTCATGTTGAAATTATGTCAGTCTTTTGCCTCACCGTTAACGAATGTTTCATGCTCACATCTTACTTTGCTATTCAAATAATATGTAATGTTTGGAAGCTACTGAGGAGTAAGCGTCATGTTTTAAAAAGTACAATTGAAGGTACTTATTCACTATGAAATTCATTATCTCGTAAGTTTGAGCTTTATGCATGACTTTATGTTGCTGGTGCGATTCCAGCCGGATTAATATATATGTTCCTAGCTGAATGTCTTATGCGTTTTCTCATGACCTGCTGCTTTTGAAGTTCATGAAAATTGTTCTTTTATAACCTTATAGAAATCCTTATTTTACTCTGCAGATTCTGTTACATTGGGGCATGGACATCGAGTGAACTCCCTTGCATTGATCATAGAGTATGTTCTTGGACAGGAGCACTTTGACCACACTGGAAAATAATATTCTTCACCGAAAGAAATTAAAAAGGTAAGATCTCTCGTTCCTTAGTTGAATTCAATTTAATTGTCCATTAACCATGTTTCTGATCTTTCCCTAGGAATTTACATGCTTAGGCTGACTGTAACACTAATATGGTGGTGCATGCGGAGAGGTTTAAAAGAATTGATTTGGCTACTTATGTCACCATAGTGCACTTATCTTTTCAATCAACTGTCCTGAGAGAACTCCACAGTTAATCGTGCTTGAGCTGGAGCAATTTCAAGATGGGTGACCTTCGGAAAGTGATTGTCGGAACTCTGTGTGTGAGGACAAAACATAGGAAAAGATCATGTGGTGATTTATAGGGTCGGTAAACAAGTCTTTTAGGCCTCCCGGACGTAGCGGACCGACCGTCGGATATTGATGGGCCACGGACCAAAAGAGGACGTGGGACCCATTAAGAAAGGTGGTGGTCGGGGCGTTACACTGACGCTTGAGAAAGACACAACCAAGCAAAAGAAAAATCCACTGAAAGATTAGTCTCAGGTTCTGATGATTTTTCAAGTTACAACGTTTCTTTGGGAACAAGTTATAACTTATGTTTAGTACATCATCATCACAGCCACGTCTAGGTAATGAAAACTTGAAACTATTGTATATTTGTATGTTTCTTGTTAATTTTGTTTTAGTAAAATACCTATTTCCCCTCAAATAGATGCGGAGATGCGTGTGCTTGAATCCCAAGTAGAAGAAGGAGAAAAGGAAGAGGAATATTAATTGTCAAGGAAGAGGATAAATTATGTTGTTTGACAAGTAAAGTGAAGGTGCTAAGGACATATAGGGCTAAAAGGTCAGCCCGGCCGGTCCATTAAAATTAATGTAAGCCATGACCCTGATTAATCGAACATGGAGAATTTTGGGTTAATATAAGGTTTTGATTAAAAAGCCTTGTCACTTTCCTCACACTATCATCATTTCTGTTTCTTTGTCTCTACCACATATATTGCTTCCAAAGTTTGAAAGACTTCCTTATACACCTACACTTAATAGAGAGTTGTATACCACCTTCTTTGAGAAAAACTTACAAAAACCCAAAATCAGTGTCCTTCCACTATACTCTTAGCCAAACTTCATGATGCTAAGACCCACTCCTTTTTTATATCTCTTGAAACAATTCTCCAAAGCTCTTGTTGTACCCAATCTCGATACTGGTCATGAAGTGTTCTAAAAAGCGGTCTAGGCGGTCGCCTAGGCCTCGACTAGGCGCTAGGCTCTCATGCCACACCTAGATAACCATTTTGACCGCCTAAAATTAAATAGATCTTGTTTAATGTATTTTTTCAATTTCAATTAAGTTTTATTTATATATCTATAGTTATAAATACTCATATGTTGTTTAATGTAAATATAAATAAATGTTTTATCTAGTTTTTATTTATAATTTCATAATTTTTAGTTTTATATAGATATTTTATATAACTATATATATAATAGCATATGTATAATTATTTTTGTTATAAATGTCTAAACCGCCTAAAAATCGCCTAGACCCCGATTAGGCGTTTTAGGCGCTAGGCACTAGGTCACCACCCGCTTAGCGCCTAGCGCTTTCTTGAATATTAGTCATGATACATACTCTTCTGGATTTACTCTATTTCCTCTATCTCAAATTTATTACCAAAAACAAAAATGAGACTCTTTCTCACTTCGAAACAACGAATATACACCTCAACTACTTTTAATTAATGGGGCTTTTGCAAAAATGCCACTTTTTCAATGCCACTTTTCAAAAATACCCCTTTTTAAAAACCTTATAAAAAATGCTCTTAAAAATATAAGATTTACCCAAATATGTATGTAATATTATTAAAACATACACAAACTACATTTCTATGTATCTAAAATCTTATAAATACTTTATAAATACCTTATAAATGTATTTTAAATACCTTTAAAAACCTTTAAAATATCTTGTAAAACCTTTGAAAACATTAAAAATCCTTTAAAATAACTTGTAAAACCTTTAAAAACACCTTATAAATACTTGGATCGAGTCTTCAAGTAGTAGTTACAATCCATAAGTACCTTATAAACCTAATAAAACTTTATAAAAATTTCAGATTTAAAAAGGGGCATTTTTGAAAATGGACATCTAAAAAGGGCATTTTTGAAAAGAAGCACACTAAAAGGGGTATTTTTAACAATTTCCCTATAATTAATCATATATATGAAAAATAAGAGATTTTCTCTAGGTTATATGCCATGTCAGCATAAGAGAAGACGACACCTGTCCCCATAAAGTTGACGATTGGAGTCCATCTCTTTTGTTGATTCTCCTCTTTGACTTCCTATTAGAGTTTAGTTGTTCGTTTCCATCTTAAATCCATTAACTGATCACACATCAAGCTTCACATATTGGTCTTCCTACTCGAATGACGTCTAGAGAAACTGTGGTAAACAAAACTGAAGACCTCGAAGAAAGTTCCTTTGTTTCCGGGGAGATAAAACAAAAAGCCTAAATGGATGAACTGGGGAAATAGGGCCAAGAGAAAGATGAGAATGGCGATGTTGAAACAAAAGCTCATGTAGGCATTGTATGTGTCCAAACTTTTCCTCCTGTCTCATGTTGCTAACGTAAGTTTGAAATCATGATTGTGTTATTTGCACTCACCACTTTTAGTGTGAATTGTTTCGGATTTGGTAAATTTCTTTAGAATCTAAATAACATCTTATCTGTTTCACATGTTTTTTTTTTCAATAAAAAGGGTTAGCTGCTTTGTATGTTCATGTCAAGATGAATCCTCAGCGGTATGTATTGATAATGCTTGATCAATATATTGAGTAGAAAATCGTCTTTCTTCATAGATTATTTTAATGTATTGGCCATCATCGCCTCCCTTTGATTGCATTTCTTCCACATCAGTGATGTGTCTAAATTTTAGTTAAAATTAATTGTATGATCTGAATTTGGTTATAGATTTGCGTGTTTTTGCTCGACTACAATAGATTCATATCCTCTCTTGTAGATTGTGAAAATATGCCAAGAAATTGTTTTATTCACCTTTTCAACCACTGAAACACTTGATCCTTTGTCACCTCTCTATTTACCGCAGATTGGCTAAAGAGGTCAGTAAAAAGAGGTAGCTGATAAGGATATGGATATCGATATGGAAGGTGGTAGCAAAGTGAAGATCTTGGGTGTGGGAGCAGGTGGCATCACAGCTCGAGTCCATGAAAGAGTATATAAATTTTTGCTAATCTTATAACATTCAATCACCAAATGTTGATTTGAATATTGTTTTATTTTGATGTGACGTATCATATAATAAGGGTTATTAACGAGATTTTTACATTCTTATATGTATTTTAGAATGACCTTTAATTAAATATATATATCTAGATTATGTATTATCATATTTTGAAAATAAAATTATAAATATTTCTGGTCATCGACATTTTAAATTTTTTACCAAAATGCAATATAAACTAAGAAACAAAAGATTTGTTTGGTCTTCGATCGCCTCTGGGATGTTTGGAACTCTTCTTATGAAGTTGGACTTATGATACCATTAGAAGCAGTAGCAGTAATCAGGTTCTTTCTCACATGATCCTCATCTCAATCAAATAAATTTCATAGCTAATACATGTGAATAAATTTATATTCTTATATATGTGTGAAGTCTATCATTAGTGTTTGATCAATAAATAATGAGCTTTAAGATAATAGCCTCAAAATATGAAATTTAAATGGGAAACTTAGCCTAAGGACTAAATGAGCTCATCAGCCTTATTCAACTGCATGATCTCTTTTGCTTGTATATGTGGTTTTATGAGAAGTAGAAAAGTTTGTGGCCTTTCTTTGTAGCTTGATGGAAGTAGGGTAGATTTGATATAATGATTAGATTATAAATTTCAACTTGTATAGATTGTATAGAAGTTGGGTGCATACATGTTTATTTAGATGGTGTAGCTGAGATGTATATAACCATAGTGCATTATGTATGTTATTCAAAAAATATGTTTACTTTTTAGTAAAGGGAATGAAACGACCAACGATGAGTTGACCTAATGGTTAAGCTCTTTGATTACCAAAAACGTAGGAATTTTAGTGGTTACGGGTACGATTCGCGTTGAGAAGAGTATATTCTCTAAAATAAAGTAAAGTTATATTACATGGTTTAGGCCTCGCCATAGAATATAAAAGGAATGAATTGATTTCAAAGATTTCAATACAGAAAATTTAACATTTATATTCTCCTAAAAAATATATTCTAAAATATACAAATTTAATGAATCACATTAGTCGGTAATAAAATTTTAGTGGTAAAATTATTGAATTGAGAATAATTAAAGATGGACTTAATATAAGTGGCAAACGTTTTAAAAGAATATAAGTGACAAAAAATATTAAATAATTTATTTGGTGATGTCGTAGTGGTATAAAATAAATAAAATATTTATAATAAATTAATTATATCAAAACAACTTAGCATTAGTAACAATATACAAATATATAAATAAAAATAACCTAATAGTTACCGCACTCACATGTGTAGTATTTGTTTGCATCTCTATTTTTACTCTCTTTTGATTAATTATACATAAGCTGTATATAGACGATAAATCTCTTACTATACTGGTAATAATTATAAATACGCATCCTATAAAAATAATAGAGGTCAAATTCCCTATAATCACAATATTTGAAGATAAATCAAAATGTTAGAAGATTTGACTAACATTTATTTTGTATCACATCTGCACGTATACATTTTGATAAAAAAAAAAAAGTATTCTTTTGAAGATTGTATAATCGACTATTTGAAAATGTCTAACCAAGCTTAAAAAATTTCTTCATAAAAATATTATTGATTTTCCTTTTCACAATACTTACACATCCAACACTTAAACAACATGACTTTACTCAAGTGCCTTTAGTCAAGTGGTTAAGTCCACTTGACTCCGCCTTCCCCACCGGAGTTCGACTCCACTAAGTCGCGTTACCCCGCGTAGTAGGGATTGGCTATGGATCGGGCTTTGTCGATCCAAAGATGTCAAAAAAAAAAAAAAACAACAACATGACTTTACTCCTTAGATAACCGTTTTTTGTTATTTTGAGATATTAATTTTGTAATGTAAGCTAACATCGTCTTATACTATTATCAAAAATCTTTAGTGTACTTTAAATATGTTTTTCCACCAATTTTATTTGGGTTAAAATTATTGTATTCAATTGATGAAATCTCAAACTTGTTTTTCTTTTGATCATATTATATAGTTGTAGTTCCACTTGAGAATATATATTTTTCTAGATGTGCTACACAAATTATATATCACTTTTTTTTTACAGCTTATATATCACTTTTTGTTTATTTTGTTATAGTACTTATGAATAATATGACCATTGTTTTTTTCTTTGAGAAGATGGATTATAATATGAAGATGTTTAAGATCTTTTTTTTTCCTTTATAATTTCACAAAAAAGTGTGACCCTTACAATGTCTTCGTCTAAGATTTAAATTTTATTTTAAGTTTAGTAATCTTTTATTTTTTCTTAATTAAAAGTTTTAATAATAAATAAAACTCTATTAAGTATATTATTTTTAAAAACTAATGTTTGACTTTAAATTTTGTTTTCTGTTTAAAATTTTATGAGTTATATAAATTATTTTTAATATACAATGCATTTAATATTACTTCCATTATAAAACTCATCAACACAATCAAAAATGAAATATGATCACTTTTAATATTTATTTTTTAAAATTTGAATTATATTATTATTACTAATACAATTTTCATAGTATTGTTTTTATTATTTTTTAAATTTCATTTCCTTTTATTAATAATAATAAATACAAATCTTTGTAGTATATTGTTTTTAGAAACTAATTTTTAAATTTAAATTTTATTTCCTGTTTAAAATTATTTCAAGTAGAGTTATATAAATTATTTTTTACTATACCATGCATTTAATCTTACTTCCATTCTAAAACTCATTAACACATTCCAAAATTTGAAATATGATCACTTTTAATTTGTTTAGAAGTTGATTTATATTATTTTTAATATTACAGTATTGTTTTTACTATTTTAAAATTTCATTTCTTGTTCTGAATTCGTTTTTTATTTAATTAAAATTTATATTAATTATAAGTAACATAACTATGCACTAAATGAACATTTGAAATATATTTTAATGTAAAAATAATAGTCTTGCTTACGTGGATGCTTAGGTGGACACCTTAATAAGAGAAAAAACTCTCCTATTATATATCTATTTGACTAATCATTGCAAGATTTGGTTGAACCATTATAATCTTCGGGTAATTTGACGAACTCTTGCAACTTTTGTGCAATTTTTGTACTTGCGAACTCGGGCCAAGGTATGTGAAAAAGTATATAGAGTAAACATTGTGCCTAAAGAAAAAACAAAGCTTCCATCTGGGATGAAATGGTTGTGGTTACATCTATCTCTTGCTCAACCAAGATGTTTTATTGCATGGATTTGATTTCTAGTAGATTTTGGCGAGAGAATCCATAGATTTCACGGCTTGGTGGAGAAAACAAGTGGGTCTTCTACGGTAGGTATCCCGGAGTTGATCCCTCGTTCGTTAAGGATGAGGCAAGAAGAACATGCAACAAAAAGTTTCTACGATGCTACCGGTTCCTAGAATTTATACAATTAACAATCGATCCGTAAATCATAACCCTAATATCGCGCAATTGTAACTCTCAGAAGAGAGAAACTGATATTAATCGGAGGTTTGATGGCAAAAGTATTTATTTATTTTCCCTGCTAGGATTTTTTGTTTTTTACCGCTCCCTGCTATGATTGTTATAGGCAAAGTTCGTTAAATTGGTGAGGGAGTGAAACTTAAACTTGTTGGAGGTGGATAAGGTGTTTAGAGACTACAATTGCCAATATCAGAGGCTATCTTTTACGTAGCTTCTTTAGGGGCCAATATCAGAGGCTTTTTCATAGGTTCTTTAGGGCAACAACATATTTCATCCCTTTGCATTTTGGTAACGTTACGTTGAGGCCGTCATAAACGTGAAAGGCTGTACTCTTAGAAGACCAGGAAGAAGATATGGTTTTATGCCCAAGACAACAATAACGGTTGTCGTCACCCACAGACTTCTCTCAAAGGAAGATTACAACCAAACAAGGCACATGATTCGTGATAGCTCAAAGGAGATCTAAAGAGACCAGCTTTCGAATTTCGCTGCATCAGAAGAGTGGTAAGAGTTTCAATGGCATAAGCTTCACTGCTCAATGTTTCAATCGCTTCCAAAGCTGCTTGTTCATTATCGGTGGCTTGATCATTGTTGCTCTGTAAAAGAGAGAAACAGAGGATGCGTTAAACTTGGGCCAAGAAAAAAAGAAAACCTTATTTGTAAGTTGTAACATAACACTAGGCCCAATACGAAAAAAAAAACCACCATTGACCAAACCAACTTTTGGTTTTGGTCTAAAACTCATAATCGACCAACCAATCGAAATCCAATCGAAATCATAGTAACCCTAAAACTCTAAACCTCCATGGTCGAACCTTTTTTTCTTTCTTTTTTTGTAATCATTCTCTGGTCTAATCGAATCCGTGAAAACCTAATAAAACCGCCATTGACAAACCTTTAAACCTACCGGAGGAAAAATCGAATTAGTTAACCCTAAAGGCCTAAACCCTAAAAACCCGCCATTTCCAAACTTTAAATCCTACGCTAAATTTCCCACCGTAAACCATAACCCTAAGATCGCGCAAGAGAATCAGGAAACTACTCGCAGTTTCAGGCGAAACAGGAGGAGGAGGATTTGCGATCGGAGGAGAATCCATCTTTCTGGTGAAGAAAAAAAAGAGATTCTGGTGAAGAAAAATATTGGGTCTTTGGAATATGAAGAAAGAAGAAGAGAGAAACTGATTTTAAGAAGTAGAGAGAAACTGATTTTGATCTGAGGTTTGATGGCAAAAGTATTTATTTATTTTCCCTTCTATGATTTTTATTTTTATTTTTGACCGCTGATTGTTATAGGCAAAGTTCATTAAATTGGTGAGGGAATGAAACTTAGACTTGTTGGAGGTTGATCAGGTGCTTGGAGACTGTTTTTTCATAGTTTCTTTAGTAAAATTTGAAACTGGTAGTCTTGAAAAGAGAAGAGTTAAACGAGACAGTTCGCTCCGCTCCGTAGTGGCTGTCGTTTAGAGGATTGATGTTCACCCCGAGAATGCTGTCAAGTTGAACAGAGTATCTGCTTACTGAATTCAGAACCTAGCTGAGGAGTCTGCTCAAAAATTTTCATGATGATATTATTGGCTCTGCAAAACAGCTGTTACCCTTTGTAATCTCTGATCTCTCCCTCGGAAGAATTTGCTTGCTTAGGGTGCACCTGACTGATATAACTAAGCAAAAGGAAAGTCCGGTGTTAGAGTAGTCTCATGACTTTACAATGTTTCTTTCTTTGCCAACTTAGTGAACAGCATAGAAACCGTTTTGACCATGAAGAATTCGACTAAACGCAATGCGTTGGAGAAAGATTTATGATTCCCCAAGATATATGTAAACAAGATTAAGTTAGACTTGTGTGTATGTTTTTATATCATATTGACTATAATTTATCACATGAGGATATCCATTGTTTTCTTTGATGCTCTCTTTTCTTGTCACTTCAATTTATGTGACAGAACACAAGCGTGTTGCTCCCTGTCTTTGTATCACTCGAGAGAATAAAAGAATCTGAAGGTGAAATTTCAATTGTAAACGCTTTACATTCTATTTCACTACTGACCTCTATTTGTAAAAGTGTTATTGTTCCTACATCAAAAACAAAGCCAAACTTGTCACTTTCAGTCATTTGTGGACCATGGTTCATCAGCGTTCCTCTTTTGCTCATTAATGTGCGATTCACGACTTCTACTGTTCTGTTTCCCGGGTCTAATGCCATCAGCTGTATCAGTAGTCTCAGTAGAGTCGTCCTCTTTTTGGCTCCATTCTAACTTCGTACTGATTATTTGTCGCACCCTTTTTTATACAGAAGTTGCTTCCCTCAATTTTTCTACATCATTGAGTGCTTCACTGCTTTCTTTACCATTTCCTCTGAGAATGCTCATTATTCCTTTAGTAGTTCCTTGCTCTACAGTAAACACTTTGGGTTGCAGTCGCAAATATTCCTCGTTTTCTGTTAGACCACCGTTAGAGGTTTGAGTTTCTCGATCAAACTGAGAAAACAACTCGAAAGATATTTGATCGCCTTACCATTCACAGGGATATGATACATGGGCACTCGTTTCAGAATCATTCTGCTTTGCTAAAACAGGAATATCCTTTTCCATAACCTGCAAATGAAACTTCTCTAGAGTCTAGCCTTAAGAAAATATCATATGATTTACCAAAAAGTGACTGAGAAACGTCAAAACCATGAGATTTTTTCTTTATCTCCTTGATGGAAAAAGAAGAAGCAAACCTGATAAAGACAAACATTCATGTGTGATGCGGTCATCACACCAGCAACTCAACCAAAGCTCATTCAAACAGGATGCACTATGCCAATAAGACCCGAGAAGGACATATGTTCATTGTTTGAACCATATCAGCTTAATGACGAAGATTCAAGGCAGGAAACCACATGGAAACTACTCTCAACACAGCTAAAAAACGCCTCGAATAAGAATCAGTCCAAAAGGAGTTCATATGAAGGAGTTATTCAATTCACAAGTCGAGTGATTCCCAGCTTACCCGATTTGGACATACACGGAGTCATTGGAGGATTCCGACCAAACCAGAAGGATTTAAGCTACAAAGTGAATTTTAATACATTCTGGACTCATTATAGGAGCTTTTCGAATTGGAATCAAGTAAGTACCGATTTTGGTTTGGAAGATATTAATTTTCTAAACCGCATGATCCTCAGCTTGCCTTATTTGGACTCTTGCCGGTTTAGGAGACTCCAAACGTATCATTGGCGCCCAGGAGACGTTTTTCTACTTCTGGAAGCCTCCTAAAACACTATGAGGTTCACCAAGACACACAGGATTAGGCGGATCCTTCCACACCTTCACTTTCCATATCCCGAGCCGAGCTTGCCTTATTCGGACCCGAGAGGCGTCAATGCAAGACAGATCTTTCCCAAATCACTTGTGCGCCTTCTCCAACTTAAATCAGTAAATATAGACGTCCCAAGGAGCCACCTTTACACGCCCAAGCTTTCAAGGTTGAAGACCAACGGCTATTTCCATATTTGGACGGATTCTATATTTAAGCCACTAACGGCTAGTCTCTTCAGTTTTGTGCTAATTGTTTCTTTAATTAGATTATTAGAACGTTATTCTTGAGCCTATATAAGCTCATTAGCTCCCATTGTATTAGGCAGCCTTGATTTTAAAAGAAATAGAAATTATTCAGTTCATACACGAAGTTGTGTCTTTGTGTTGTTTGTTCTTTAATCTTTTGTGTGCGATACACTTAAGTTTATAGAAGCCTTGGGTTTGTTTGTTTGTGCGATTCAAACAGGCTGATTCAAACACCGATTGAGTGAGTCAACAACTCTATCTACCTTTCCCATCCATTGATTCTCGAGAGAGAGCGTTAAAGCCAGCTCGTGAATTCCACCTTCCGCCAGTTAAGCTTGGAATCTCTTGATCATAAGTTGGAGTGATTCCAATCTTATATCAATGTGGAGCATTATGAAGATAGCATCAGCACGTGGCTTAACCAAAAACCCCAGCATTTGGCTTTCTAGTACCTCAATTATCCTACAAGTTATGCAGATAATTAACTTGTGGCCTAAAAGGAAATATCAGTAAGACATTTTCTTAAGAATTATTCACAGAGCAATAGCAAACACTTATTAGCAGGACTGATATAGCATGAACACTTCCAATATACTCTTAACAACAAACTAATAGAATGGTGACTAGATCTCTCTTGATATACTCTGGGATGGGTACTGCTAAATTGAGTAGGTTGTTCATACCTGATCGATCTTACCCCAACTAATAGTGGTCACTAGAATATCAAGGCCTATTTACTACATGGTACTTTTATTTTGTGGCAACAGGAGTATGGTTCCACTAGCTTACAACATCATATGAAGAAGAAAATGTATTATGTAACTTTAATGATATATTAGTGATATAATCATATTCATGTTAAGGTACTTTCACATTGTAATCTAACCGAGAAAGATGAGGAGAGAGGAGGTCAGATGAATTGGATATTGTTGCACTTTGATGAAAATATGGGGAGAGTCAGCAGATTAGATTGCAAGAACTCAGTGCTGTTGTTGTTTTTTGCGTGAACACCAACTTTCACGGTTTCAAGACATTCCAACTTGCCCAAGAAATGTCTCATCTGTTCCAGCTCTTGAAAAGAACCTCCATACTCTAAAATCTGTAGCACCTTCACTTGACATGTCCACAGACAACATAATGCCTCCTCATTCTTCACAATCTTCCTCTGCTTCTTAGGGATGCAAGCGCATGCATCTCCACATCTATTTGTTATTCTGTGCACAAGACCCTGAAACCAGAGACCAATTTGACATGAATAAATTAATGGGTAACACTAACAACAAAAAGAATCTCAGCAAGAAAAATGATAATACCTTGATGACTAAAGTATGTAGATTTGGACAACTCTTGAGGAGAAGTGGCATTACTTGCCAACCTTTTTCCTTGTTACTCTCAATAGATAAATTAAGGAGGTTGTTGAACACGGGCATGGATTTACAGCAGAAATGAAACACCTAAGTTAAAAACGAACACAACCAAAAACCTATACTAAGTAAGAGACCTTGCTAGCTCCAGTAACAAATAAAAAAGAATCAATAGAAGAAGCAAAAACTAACCTCAAGGGAATCAGGAGACATGTGAAGGGTCGTAATGTTGCCTATAGCCGCAAGCAGTTTTGTAACATCACCAAATATAGCCGCCTTTGGTTCATCATAAATATCATAACCATCATCATCGTCATCATCATCATCATCGTCAGAATAATCATAATCATTAGTTGACACCCATAACCTGAGACTCAGCCTGGCTTCGACAACAAATCCAAATCAACAATCTGATACTGTTCTGAGACATAACTGGAATAGTCAAGGTAGACAAGACTTGGTGCTTCAAAATAAATAAGTTGGTGACATTGTGTATCATCTGGATTATGGGTAAAAATCACAAGTCGCTTAATAGATGCACTTTCCACGTTGGTACCACAAGTTTGCTGCAACATCGGATAATCACCATCACGCATGTATAATTCTTCCAGGACAGGGCAGCCATCGATGAGCCGTAGATAGTTGGGATGATCACACCGAACTGAGATGAGAGAAAGTGATTTGAGGGCAGGGAAAAACACACAGTCTACTTCAACAAAACATCGAGCGGATAGCGTGAGCTTAACCAGTGTGTTGCTTGTTAACAGCTTAGTTTCTATGGCAATAGCAGACCAGGGGGTGGCGTGCAAGTGTATTTCCAATAAACCGCGTTCCATTGCAGTCCGAATCCAACGCTGGACAATACCGTCCACATCATCGTTATAGTTATGTACACGAGACAGAGAGAACTTCTTGATGTGAGAATTGCTTAACAGAGTAAATGTCTTGTCTACGAAATCACAGAAGCGAAGTAAACCACTTGTTGCTTCTTCTTCGTTGGGATACACAACCATCGACTCATCAAAGGAAAGGGTGTCTACAAGACCCAGCAGATTCCTCCACCTCTTGGACAGAACAGATGTCGAAGCAGCCACTTTTGTCGGAAGCAAAGACAAGATTTTGCCAAGTATCTCATCTGGCAAATTGCTGATCGAATCTCTAGCAGAACTTCTCATAGACATAAGTCACAACAAGTTCCTCCAACTGAATTGAATGTTTTGCAATTAAACAATAGAAGCCTTCGAATCCTAACCCAGAATCAAAGATGGATCCTTTAAATCGAAGGAGAAAGACCAATTCCTCGTCTCCTCTGCCTTCGAAGGTTGTCTTTTTTGCTTGACAATGGAATTTGATAAATAACACAAAAATTAAACGAAAAAGGGAAACTTTGGCCCACCAGAAAACGGCTGCGTTTAATATTTTGTGTTTATTTATCAAATTCCATAGTCAAGCAAAGCAAGAAGCTTTTCGATCCTCCTCGTCTCCTCTGCCGTCGAAGGTTTGTCTTTAATCTTTCTCTTCCTAAAGTACCCTCTCCTTTGATTCTGGGTTTTTTTCTTTTTTTTTTGGTTTTAAGATTCGAACAACTTTCAATAGGAAGAACTTGTTGTGACCCTCATCGACTTGTTTTAGTGTGTATTATTTAGGTATAGTTAAATCCCTAACTTCTCCTAGAGATTCACTAAGTCGTTTGCTAGTTGAGATACTTGGCAAAATCTTGTCTTTGGTTCTTACAAAAGTGGTCTTGTAGACAACCTTTACTTTGATCATTCCATGGTTGTGTATCCCAACAAAAAAGAAGCTTTGAATTTGCTCTGTTTCCGATTTTAGATTCATGTCTTTGAATATGTATGTGGTTCTATGTAATTCTTTGTTCTTGTCTCTCTTATTTTCACTGAATTCAATAGCTGACTATGATCTATGTGATTCATTCCCTTGTATAGTAATCAATGGCTTTACAAATTCATCTGATCTAAGTTTCTTGGGTTTGGATTTGGATTCAGATGGATGGGATGAAGTTTTGTTTCTCACCGGAAAGTCCACCACTTTCAGTCATTGTTGCTCTTTCTCTCTCAGCCTCTCCGGTGACTATTGATTCCACCGCCGCTGCAACTACCGTCCCTTCTTTTGTCTTCTCAGATGGGAGGAAATTGAGTGGAACCACCGTTCTTCTTCGCTATGTTGGTCGATCAGCTAACACGCTTCCTGATTTCTATGGCCACGATGCTTTTGCTTCTTCTCAGATTGATGAGTGGGTAGATTACGCTTCTGTCTTCTCCTCTGGTTCCGAGTTTGAGAATGCTTGTGGTCGTGTCGATAAGTATCTTGAGGGTAGCACGTTTCTTGTTGGCAATTCTCTTACCATTGCTGATGCTGCTATTTGGTCAGCTCTCGCAGGTAAACATTCATTATCTTTGACTCTTTGTTATGAGTTTCTTTGTATTTGAAGCTGATTAGTTTAACTATTGGTAGGAACTGGCCAAAGATGGGAAAGTTTGAGGAAATCGAAAAAGTATCAGAGTTTGGTTAGATGGTTTAATTCGATATTAGACGAGTACAGCGAGCTGCTTAACAAGGTTCTATCAACATATGTGAAGAAAGGCTCAGGGAAGCCTGTGGCTCCACCCAAGTCTAAAGACAACCAACAAGCTACGAAAGCAGATGCACAGGATAAAGGCAAATCTGAAGTGGACTTGCCGGAAGCAGAAATTGGAAAGGTTCGACTTCGGTTTGCTCCAGAGCCAAGTGGTTACCTTCACATTGGACATGCCAAGGCTGCGTTACTGAACAAGTATTTTGCTGAGCGTTACCAAGGGGAAGTGATTGTGCGTTTTGATGATACTAACCCTGCTAAAGAAAGCAATGAGTTTGTGGATAATCTCGTTAAAGATATTGGGACTTTGGGGATCAAGTATGAGAAAGTGACATACACTTCAGACTACTTTCCTGAACTGATGCAAATGGCGGAAAAACTGATGCGTGAGGGCAAGGCATATGTTGACGACACTCCAAGGGAGCAGATGCAGAAAGAGAGGATGGATGGGATTGATTCAAAATGCAGGAATCATGGCGTCGATGAGAATTTGAAGCTATGGCAGGAAATGATTGCGGGAAGTGAGAGAGGATTACAGTGCTGTGTTCGCGGGAAATTCAACATGCAAGATCCCAACAAAGCCATGCGCGACCCTGTTTATTATCGATGTAATCCTATGTCTCACCACCGTATCGGGGATAAGTATAAGATATATCCAACATATGACACTGCGTGCCCGTTTGTCGATTCCCTTGAAGGTATAACGCATGCCCTTCGGTCTAGTGAGTATCATGACCGGAATGCTCAATACTTTAAAGTTCTGGAGGACATGGGAATGCGACAGGTTCAGCTTTATGAATTCAGCCGGTTAAATCTGGTTTTTACACTTCTCAGTAAACGCAAGCTTCTCTGGTTTGTCCAGACTGGATTGGTTGACGGGTGGGATGATCCACGCTTCCCGACAGTCCAAGGAATTGTTCGTAGAGGTTTGAAAATCGAGGCTCTTATTCAATTCATTCTCGAGCAGGTCAGCCTTTCTTTTTCGTTGTTGTTTGTATCTTTCGAATGAAGTGTAATAATAATTCTGTTGATTTCTTACTCTTCCAGGGGGCTTCGAAGAATCTAAATTTGATGGAATGGGACAAACTTTGGTCTATTAATAAGAGAATAATTGATCCTGTGTGCCCTAGACACACGGCTGTGATTGCAGAGCGTCGTGTACTATTTACCTTAACAGATGGTCCTGATGAGCCGTTTGTTCGCCTGATACCAAAGCACAAGAAATTCGAAGGTGCTGGAGAAAAAGCGACCACTTTCACTAAGAGCATTTGGATCGAGGAAGCTGATGCGAGTGCCATATCCGTTGATGAGGAAGTAACTTTGATGGATTGGGGAAATGCCATAGTAAAGCAGATCACAAAGGATGAGGAGGGTCGTGTCACTGCGTTATCGGGCGTTCTGAATCTTCAAGGTTCTGTAAAGACTACAAAGCTGAAACTCACATGGCTTCCTGACACTAATGAATTGGTCAATCTCACATTAACTGAGTTTGATTATTTAATCACCAAGAAGAAGGTACTGATACATTTATTTCTACATAATATTGTAATCTCTCAAAATCACTGATTTGTTTTTGCTGCAATACAGCTGGAAGATGATGATGAAGTTGCTGATTTTGTGAATACTAATACAAAGAAGGAAACATTGGCACTTGGTGATTCGAATATGAGGAATCTGAAATGTGGAGATGTGATTCAGCTTGAGAGGAAAGGCTATTTCAGATGTGATGTTCCTTTTGTCAAATCTTCAAAGTCCATTGTTTTATTCTCTATTCCAGATGGAAGAGCTCTTAAGTGATGAATGAAAAACTCTTTTTGATTTTCCCATTTTATGAAAATTTTGTTGAGAATTTTGCTATTTAGGTTTAAAACAAAGAAAAACAGAGCTTTTTTAATTCAGTTCTGTACTTAATTTTTGCATCTCATAGTAGTTTAAAGTTGCAAACTTTATCTTCTTTACCTTCTTCTTCTTCTTTCTCATTAAAAGCTGAACACAAAGATCGACTCTTTCACTAACACATTGCGAGTTTTTGCATTTGTCTTATATCCTTTTTTAAAGTCTGTTCCTTTTTTCTACTTTTAGCCATTCTTTCTCCAATCCAGCTCTTAGTAAGAGTTGCAGGACTGGTTTTCTTGTTAGAGTTTGTAGTTGCAGGACTGGTTCAGGGGACTGAAGCAAATGAGTATTTTGAGTTCAATGTTACTGAACTAGATTGAATTGAGAATTCGTGTATGGTTTGTCCAAATGTATCTCCAATTTTAATCCATTGATGGTTGGTCTCACACTTATCAGAGGAGCTGGTACTGTCTCTCTATCTCTCTGCTTTTTACTTCAACAAAACATGAGTTTTTTTGTTTGTTTATCTTATATTAGTATCACTCATGTTGTCTTAGATAGTTGCAGTTTATAGTAAGTTACTTTCTGATTTTGGAATGTGAGGTACAGTATGTAATGTACATCTGAAATAAAAACAGAACAGTGTTTGAATATAAGGTACATTACAGTTTGTTTGGATGGAACATTACCTGGATATCACTTACATCGTGGACATGGATCCGGAGCCATTAGTTGGCTCATTCAATTAGAGGTTACCAAAAGAAGATTTGGTCTGTTGAATGTATATAAGAAAGCATTCTGGTTTTAGTCTTGTTTTGTTACCAATTAATCATGCGAGATCGAGATTCTTGAATTTTACGAGGAGAAGCTAAAATAAGGAGTGAAGAGTTGCTTGTGTTCCTTAACTTGCAAGTTTGTCTCAACTCTCAAGTTATGCTACATGATCGACCTTACCCCAACTAATAGTATGGTCATTAGAACATCAAGGCCGATTTATTACATGGTACTTTTATTTTGTGGCAACAGAGGAGTAAGATTCCACTATACTTGCCAAAAAGATGAATAAAAAACAAATGCTTAATCCCTTTCAAAACACAATAATTTTGGCACTAAAAAAAAAAAGTCAATACTAAAAGCATCTCCAAAGGCAACCTCCAATCTTCGTATTTGAGGTTTCTTGTTCTCCAAATACAACCTCAAAAACTCATATTTGAGGTTTCACTATTCAAAACCTCAAATTTGAAGTTTCATTTTTTTGTTTGCATTTTGGTCCTTACAATTATGTATTTCTTATAAAAACTCTTACTAAGAGCATCTCCAAAGGCAACCTCAAATCTTCAAATGTAAGGTTTTTGGTTCTCCAAAGACAACCTCAAAACCTCAAATTTTGAGGTTTCATTTTTTTTATTTGCATTTTGGTCCTCATAATTATATATAGCTTATAAATACTTTTACTAATTTATTATTTATTATTTTAGTCCTTAATTTTTTTATATCTTATAAATAGAAATTTCATTTTTCAATATAAAATTAAATAAACACCTTAAAATAATATAAAATATTACATAACGTTAAAAAAAAATATTACACAATAACAATATTACATTAAGCAAATTTATTCAAAAATATAAAACAATAGAGGAAAACAAATTACATGAAAACAGAAATATTATACAAATTATATATTACAACAATACTAATATTCAGGTAAATTTGATCCCGAACCTCCAAGATCATCAAAATATGGTCCATAAAAATTTGGTGAAATTGGAGATTATTGTGGTTGTTCTTGATTTCATTTTTGTATGATTCTTGCTTGTTTAGATCGAATATACGCACGGGTATTACTATCAGCAATAGTGTCTAAATCTTTTAAC